TACGCAACAATAGTATAACTTGGATATTCGATTCTGTAGAAAATAAATAGACGAGCATGAAAAAATGTGTGGAAATGCGAATGCATAACGTGTCGAGCTACTCGAAATACAATATACGCAATTAAAAATAAATTAATACAAATTGTCGCTCGTATATTGAAAACAAAGTGATAAATCTAAGGCCAACTTATCGAGCTGAATATTCGAGAAGTTCAGTCAACTACCATTTATTACATGTATAAATTATAAAACTACAGTCATTAGATATTAAAACTAACGCAAATTACAATCATTCTATAAACGTTTCGACCGCACGCGGTCTTCTTCAGTATAATTATTGAAATATAAATTCATACAACTTCACATAATATCGGAGTTTAATTATAATTATTCAGAATCGAGAGTTTTTGAGTAATTAACGCGTGTTCTAATCCGTCATGTCCAACAATGTTCGCCTCGATATGATCTCTGATTTTGCTCAGATCTCGGATAGTTTCATCGTTAATAAAAATTAACGATTAACGTATGTCTAAATTTATTATATTATTATTATTATTATACGCAATTAAATTCAAATAGGTGTGATACGCTCGCTCTTGAAAAATTTCCGACTATCGACGGAAGAATCTCCCGTCAGTATTGTTGCTCTTACTATCGTGAATATAGTTTAATTTAAGATAGCCCCTTGAGGGCTACAAGACTCTGAAGAAAGCTTTTGCAAATACAATGGTACGAAAGGAGTCGATCGAAACCATCCACTCGTTAGACGAATGCCTCAAGGCTAAGTAGCTTACACCGGAGCTAACAGTTTTCATCCGCTTGTCTACAATACGTCTCCCAACGTATGCCAGAAAAGTGGTAGAGTATCAGAGTAAAAGGTTTTGTACAGATTTTACGACAAAATCGCCCTCTCTCTCTCCCTCTGTTATAAATATACATGATACATACATAATATATATATATATATATATATATATATAAATAAATATTTTTCATCTGGCGTAAAAATACTGCTAAGCAACAGGGTAGGTTAATATTGCTTCTTTATTAAAAGGCTATATAAAATGCCACCATAACACGTCTGGTCGGGTCCTCGTTTGAACTCGTAAACGCCGGTGGGTCAACTGATATTTCAGGATCGCGCGCAAACAACCCAACGGCACGGAGATGGCGGGATTATGGGCTCTCCAGGCCATAGGGAAAAGCCATGCTTGCGGGCCGACGTAATCAACTGAATGAGCAAGTGACTCTGGAGTACCGACCTCATACAAGTAGCATCACTCTCTCTCTCTCCCTTTCTCTCCATCTATATTTCTATCTATAGGTATATATCTTGGTGCGGTCATCTGAATAAACCATGAGTGTTGCCTTAATGATGAAATCGAAAGTACAAACGGCCAGAATCCCATTTCGAATCAACAGATGTGAATATATGAATAAAATCATTTGAATCATCAACCGTCTTAGCGCCGTTTTTATGATAATCTCTCTTGGAATTCTCTATCCTCTCTTCGATATAATATGATGTTATCTTAAACATCGAATGGCTCTTATTGTTAGTCGAATTGGCTGAATCCAGATATACGAATGCAATAATAATACCTTAATAATCTTGTGCATCTCCGAGTCGAAAATACATCGTATGCACTTTGACTGTACTGACATCATGTGCCGATAACGTTTGCAAAATTGGTATCTAACTCACGCGGTTGAACGTTTGACATTGACGTGATGTTTAAGCAACGTTGATATTTTACCGATGCACATCCATTAGCACATATTTGCGCTCACGGTCGCGTCTGTAAAAAATGCGCAAACCTGTTTGTACAAAATGTATTTGTAAAAACGACGAACACGGCTGTCGTTCGTTAGTATTGTATTCGAGTAATGCTTTCTATTGCATCGAAAGAATGTTTCTAGGTAGCTTTTTATTCGCTATCAAACAGAACATAGCCGTTCGATGTGCAAGTTTAATGGAAATCGCAATTAAACGCTGAATTTTATATGACGCTCTTCTCAGTAATTATACTTCGTTCCGTTTGTAATTTCCTTAGGTAGCTGGTATTTTATTTAACTACCTTTTAATAGTCGACGAATCGTCCGAGTTAAAGTTCCTGTGATACTCGCTAAAATTCACTCGTGCCTTGAACTTCCTTTTATAACTACGGAATAATTAAAATACTTCAATTAGATGAATTCTTATCTCCCTCCCCCCCCAGATTTCTTTACTCCACCTACTTTGCCTTGGAGCGTTGCTTTATATTAAAGTTGATGTAACAAATATTAATGGATCAATACAATATTTCTCAAGTGGTATCTCACGCAGATTAAAAATATTAAAATGATAATATATAAGTAAGAAAAAAATTAATATTTTCTTTCTCTCATATAAATCTTTTTTAAATTCTATATATAATTAAAAATATATTATGCGATTTAATGATTTTATCCTCAACAATCAGTGTATTTAATCCGAAGATCGCAATTGTGTTTTACTCTCTCACAACCGCTATCATTACTTTGATATCGCCGCGTAAAGTTAGTGATGCACGCGTATATTACGAACGAAACTCAAACATAATATCCTGAAAAGCACTCATAACTCTATTTCGTCGAGCCACATACCTCCCACACGATTTCAAATCATGATATCGCAATCTGCCTTTGCTGCCCCTAGTTTGTGACAGGTGTTTAATATTACTTGGAAATTTGGATTTCTATAAATGTTACAGCGATAATCATGATGCGTTAGTGCATAAATCTATTACTAAAACGCCAAGTAAAATATGCAACTGTAAATTTTCCTAAATAAATAATGCAGATTTATTTAATAATATAATAAATATTCTAAAAGTCTACTTCGTCTAAACATAAGTCTTTTATAATTCGGAATAACAACACATTATAAATCCGTATCCATTAATGCAGGAAATAATCAGATTGTAATTGCTTCTCAAAGAGTCTCACGATACTGTAATCAATGTCCTATTTTGAAGAGTTATAGGATCAATGCTTGATTATTAAACGATAAAAACGAATAATGAAAAGTGACAAATACGAAGAATAATCGAAGGAGAAAATTTTCGAGAAGCATGTCATGTGCGATTTGAACGTTCGATGCTTTTCAGGGAGAAAAATACCTGTCGTATCGATGGTTATTCATCCAGGCAAGCATGCGACAATAATCTTGAAGGATAACCCGCGTGTTAGTGTCACGATCGAAATGTAAACGTCTTTTTCCAGTCATTGAAAGACACTTGTCACTCCTCATGAAATACGCGTTACAGAGAATAACAAGGCATCGCGAGCGGATTTTATTGACGTTGTCCTGAATTCTTCGTCGGCTTTTCCATCGGCGTTATAATGCAAAATGTCGGATTCCTGGCGCATTCGTATCGCGGTCTTTCTCGTCGTAGCTTCCGACAGCCGTTATAACCAGACAGTCTCATAATGTTCACATGATGGAAACTAAAGGAAAACGCCGCAGGTGTTTATACGGAACGTGGCGCTCTCTCTTTCTGAATAACTTGGATTAATAAAAGGTGCGTCAATCCTCCGAGAATGCTTAACAAATACATGGGCATTGCGAAAAATATGATATTTTTTCAGCGAAGAGAGAACCTATTGAACTCGCAATACTCGCGTAATACTCATTACAATTGTACGCTGCAGTATTTCGATTCATTATCAAAACAAAATATATCCTTATGCCACACACGTGTGGGAATATTTAACATAAACTGAAGGTCTTATGAAAATGTGTCCATTTTATAAACATGTTATTCCGATGTTTTTCTCAGAACAATATGGTAATATTAATTGTTATATTTGCGAGTTAGTAAACTCATTAATTTAATAGTATAAATAAAAAATTGAAAATTATTATTGCATACATGTGTTATTAAACTCTTTCGAATCATGATTGTTCAATTTAAATTAATGCAGATCCCGAAAATTATAAGAGATGTAATTTATTATTATATTATTCGATATTATCGTGTAGAAAATGAGCAGTATATCTAGTAAAATATCTATTCTGTGAAAATTAATATCGGCTTTAGGTCAACGATAAACTTTTTCCAACAAATATAAAACCGAATATTTGAATTTTGTAAAAATCCGGTATCTCAATATCCGGCCGTTATTATAGACAAACAACACTGACACAATTTGCAGACGAAAGTTCGATTTCCTCTCGCGTGGTCTGTCTACATAAATAATGCGTAAAAACACGAAACTTTTTAAATTATAAAATCGGTATATACGGTGCGGATGGTGTCGGAACAACTGGCGGTTCTAATGCGCAATTTATTAAGATACACGGCCTCTTTAATCGATATGGAAACAAGAGATGGGGAAACGAGCGACCTGAGAAAACTTATCGCCGTCTGTTACCGGAGACAGCATGCTTTTAAATATATCTCAACGAGACGATTTATGATGCCGACAGATTTATGAGAATGTCCACACGTCCGTTTCAACGATTTTATATCCAACGCGAAGGTACATCGTAAAGACCCAACGATCACGCATTAATCATTATGCTTGTTAATCCAATCTCATAAAACTCACTACATGAATAATGAAAAAGTAATTAATAATGAAAAAGATTTAAAAAATAAATGAGTAAATACATTACCGTAAACGATATTCTGTAAAAACAATATACATATTAAACGCGTAACTTTAGCTCTTTTTTAAAGACAAATCGAAATGAGCTAGATGCTTGGAATTGTACATGTAACAAAAAATGCATTATATGATTTCGAAAACAATCATTATATATGTATATTTAACTAATTTATGCATGTCTAATTTTCTAGACCAGATTAACATGTGCGGTATAATAAAAAAGAGAGATGCCAAATACGCATATACACGTTTTATAATTAACAATTCAAGAAACTTAAAATATGCAACTAGAAATATATTTATTCTCTATTTAAAATACATTCTATGCGCATTTCAAACAGTTTGTTACCAATTGAAAAGTGTTATACTAAATTTTATCACAAATACTATGTATATATCGTTTCACGTGAATACTACGAATGCATTTTACAGTTTTGCAACACAGTAATTCGCTGAAATCATTGAAAGGATGTGGACTAAAATGTATTTATTCCCAATATTTGTGTTTTTGTGTGGATTAGTGCAATATAATGTGACACATGCCAAAAGAATACTGATCTTATCAAATTATCCATCATACAGCCATCAATTAGTTTACCGTGGCTTAGGCTTAGAATTAAACAAACGAGGCCACGAGATTGTGTCGGTCACTACGAATCCTATAAAAGACTCCACTTTAAAAAATTATACAGAAATTGATTTAAATTACTTTTATGATAGTTTTTCTGAATATGAACAGATAACATCATTTACAAGTTTCACCATGGCAAGTTTCCATCTAAACGTCTTAACTCTAGAAAAAGATATTATATGGCCTGTAATTCACATCCTAAATAACGAGGTCTTTAAAAATCCAGAAATGAAGAAATTATATGCAACTGACAGCAATGAACACTTTGACGCAATTATTATAGCGCAAGGTCCCACAGTTTCATTGAACGCTTTGGCATATAGATTCAACGCTCCTCTTATAGGTAAGAAAAAACTGCATACAATATCAATATCAGTGAAACTGTACGATTAATTTTTTTTTTTTTAGAATTAAGCATACTCATTTTTTCGCACACTCATAAAGTAATGAAAAGTAACGTGACACCTAGGTATCTCAAGCTTGGATGTATACAATCATATGCGCAATATGTTTGGATCCTTGATCCTCCCATCGCATATTTCCAATTGGCAAGCCAATACGTTACCTGAAGACAATATGTCATTTTGGAGAAGACTCGTTAACTTTTATGAAGTGTGGAAGCATATGTATCTCTGGATGAACGTACATCTCCCTTTAGAGGATGTGCTCGCAAAGAAGTATTTAGGAGAAGATTTGCCACATGTTCTTGATATAACGAGAAACATGAGCTTATATTTAGTGAACAAACATCCAGCTCTTTCTTATAACAGACCTGAACAACCAAACGTCGTATTTTACCATGGTCTTCATATCGCAAAGGAACCGCCTGCTCTACCAAAAGTATGTTATATACATACACATGAACATATATAATCTTTTTAAGAAGCTACTATGTTTTCAAATAAGATTTACTTGCTCTGCATTATATGTATTTGCTATTGGTTTTGTTGTATGCGGTAGGATTTACAACAATTTCTTGACAACGCGACCGAAGGATTTATTTACGTCAGTCTTGGAAGCAACGTTAAATGGGAACATTTACCAAATAATACATTTGAATACTTTATCAAAGCATTTTCTGTGCTGCCGTACAAAATTGTTTGGAAATACCCTAATCTGTTACCCAGCAAATTTGAAAACATACTAGTATCGAAATGGTTTCCCCAGCAAAGTATTTTTGGTAATGTCGCTTCTGCTTGCCTTAGAAATAGTATAATCTTTCCAGCTCGTATTGATTTTCTCGTTTATAGCTCATCAAAATATCAAGCTATTTATTTATCAAGGCGGTATGCAAAGTACCGAAGAAGTTGTTCATTATGGGATTCCGGTCATAGGATTTCCCATTTTTTGGGATCAAAATTATAACGTCAAATATTTAGAAAAAATGGGCGCTGGAGTTCATCTTCATAGTAAGAATATTTCGAAAGAAAGCATAGAAGCTGCTGTATATGAAGTTATAAACAATAAGAGGTATTATTGTATATAAGTTATATATCTATATATAATATCTCTTTTTATTAGCTTAATCATAATTTATACAATAGGAAGAATTAATCTTTTAAATCACACGTGCATTAATGTAATAATAATATTCCCCTAAGATACAAAGATCGGATGAAACATCTAAGTGAACTTTATAATAACGGACCGTATGACGGTGTTCAAAATGCGGTAAGGTGGGTCGAGTACGTGATACGTCACAATGGAACACCTTTCTTGCGATATAGTCTTGGCGACAAGACATGGTATCAACGATATGACTGGGACATCATTGGATTCCTCGCTATAATAATATTTATAGCATCCCTTCTTTCTCTATGGGTGTTACTTCAGATTTTACGATTTCATTTACGAATATTATCGAATTCGTCGCGCACACATACACAGTAGTTGTTATTATAAAAATATTTTACATTACTTTATTAAGTACATATCTGAATCTGCAAGAAATATTCTCCCATAATTGACGCAACATTAATGCATAAAATCCTGCGTAACGAATCAATTTTTGGCATATTATATATTTATTATTTATAAATAATTTATTATTTACAACTATATAAAATTAAAAGTTGACGATTATATTGCGTGTTTATTGTTATTATATTGTATTATTCATCAATTTTTTTCAATTTTTCGGACACGATAATTCTCTTGATAATTATCCATTGAAAAAAATGCTAAAAGAAAGAAACTTTTCTATTCGGTTTAATCTCAAAGATATTGTCCTAATCTATAAATTATTATATAACAATCTTATATAATTTATTATAATATAAAATAAATGTATATTTAAATCACATTGAAAATACAATAGCAAAATAAATTATTTTGTTTATTAATTGTCACAATTTTTATCAATATCCTTATATAAAACAAAAGTATTATATATTATTAAAATGTGAAGTTTATAAAGTTTCACGATAAACTATATTACTTAACTGATCCGAAATGCAATGTTTATAACAAGACAAATAACAAATTAAAAGATTTATTTATATTAAGAAACATCATTAAAATTTACAATTATTGGTATCGTTTAAATGCGTCTCAACATTTCAAAGAATTTATGATGTAAATTTCTGTGCTCTATTTATTATGTTTTACTTCATAGTTAAGTAGTTACAATTTTGTGTTCGCTATTGCTCTTTTGTCGCGTTGTAGACAATATACAAATCAACTTGAAGATGCAATTAATTTTCAAATTTTCTTCTCACATTTATCATTGCTTTAAAACCGGCATATTACTTACATCGCCTTGACTAATGTGTGTGTAAAGAGACAATATATTATAATTATTAAAATATATTTCAAGTAGGGTAGGTCAATTAACCATATGTTTCATTGCTAGAACGCAAAAGAATGTAATGTAATGTTCGCAGATTGACCTGATAATGCCACTAATTTTAAATTTCACTTTTTATCATTACTTTATCATGTAGTATGCAAATATTATGTAAAATATCTATATGAATATATAATAAGAAAGTAATATAAGTAATGATTAAAATGCATTTCAATTAACATTTTAATGTACCAGTTATAAACATAAAATTTAATCTTTATTTATTAATTAAATATTTGTTCTGTCTTACTCTAACGTTGATATGAAAATTAATTACAATGTTTTTATTCGTTTTGCAATAATGATTAGAATGATCGAAAATGAGAATTAACACGACACATAACTTTGCATCGAGTGAGTAAAAGAGAAATAAAAATACAGATAAGCAATATAATAAAATAAAATTAAAAGTAATGTATATATATAAAAGCTATTTTTCTATTAATACATTATAAATTAATAATGTAAAATAGATAGAAACATAAATAGATAATTCAAATTTTTACGAGACATAAATAGATAATTCAAATATGAACATATATATTTCTCGTTAGAATAGTTATTTATATGCTCGTTATCAGACAGCGTGATGCAAGAGCGCCCTCATTCGAGCTCTAGTAATGGCTGTTAAAGTATTAATAAATATGAGTGCTCATAACTCCAAAAGAACAGTACAATCAGAACAGTAACAAAATGTATAGAGTTATTTGTGCTACGTGCGTTATTTTATCTCTATGGCTGCTACAGGCAAACAATGTAGCGAATGCCAAAAGGATTCTCGTAATCACGATTGCACCGTTTTATAGTCATCAAATAGTTCACCAATCGTTCAGTTTAGCCTTAAACAAACGAGGACATGAAATCGTCATATTAACTCCACGTCCGATGAGAGATCCGACATTGAAAAATTATACAGAAATCGATTTGTCGTTTATACCTTCCATAGTTCAAGAGTATAGAAGACAATTCTCGCAAATGCCATCGAATAAATTGATCGAATATGGCTTTCACGTAATCGCCATATTAAGCAACCTCATACTCGATGAACCAAAATTTAAGGAACTCTATAGAAAGGATAGTGGTGAAAAGTTCGACGCAGTTATCGTAGAAGCAATGAGTCCGGCGTTATTCAGTGTAGCACATAGATTTAATGCTCCTCTCATAGGTGAGATCTCTGCAAGTGACATGTGCGAGATATTTTGCAAGTAACATGTATAAGGAGGAACGGTCGATATTTTGAAAGATATTAGTATTGCCTGAGAGAGAGAGAGAGAGAGAGAGAGAAATGTTTGTTTTGTTATAAGTACAAAAATCGACCTTTCCTCCTGCGAGAGTTATGTATATATATATCTTCAATATGTATGTGAAAAATTGATATGTCAACTAATCTATTACACGTTAGGAATTATGTCCTTGGGTCTACATAATTACATACGGTATGTTTTTGGTAGTCCTTTACTTCACTCGCATTCTTCAAATTGGGAGCTTAATACGTTAGTTGGAGAAAATCCATCAATTTGGCAAAGACTGCAAAACTATTTCGAGGTATGGGACTTTATCTATTTTTGGCATAATAATTTCATGGTCAAAGAAGAAAAACGGCTAAATACATTTGGGAAATGATCTACCGCAACTCCTTGATATAATGAAAAACATGAGTGTATTATTAATTAATGAGAATCTAGCAATTGTAAATCCTAGACCTGAGCAATCAAATGTAGTATATTTCAGCGGTTTTCATATACAAAAACCGCCGCCATCTCTGCCAAAAGTACGTAAATTTTTAAGAAGATTATATTTTCATATCGAGCTATCTATCTAATGTATTATTTATTTTCAACTTTTATCACTTTATAATGCACTTGTAATACTTGTAATCTTTTATAAACGCATCAAATAATTTAATTATTTTGTTAAATACAACAACAAGGATTTAAGACAATTCCTAGATAACGCCACGGAAGGATTTATTTATATGAGCTTTGGAACCACTGTCTCCTGCGATGGTGTACATAATGAAATGTTAGAAATTTTTATTGAAGTATTTTCGAAATTATCTTATAAAATAGTTTGGAAATTTGATTGTGAATTGCCAAGAAAACTCGATAATATATTTATCTCAAAATGGTTTCCTCAACAAGGCGTACTTGGTAAAATTAAAAATGTGAAGTCATTATTTTGCGATACGTAATTTATGACACTATTAATCATCTCATTTGTACAGCTCATCCAAACATCAAGCTGTTTATTTATCAAGGTGGACTTCAAAGTACCGAAGAAGCTATTTATTATGCAGTACCAATTCTAGGAATTCCTATTGTATCCGAACAAGAATGTCGAATTAAAAAATTGGCCTCGTTAGGTGCGACAATACATCTCAATTTTCACAAAATAACCAAAGATATTCTCCAGACAGCCATTTATGAGATTCTAAGCAATAAAAGGTATTTCACGCGGATATTATATAATATAATCTTAATTTAATATTTTAATTTTAATAATTTATATTAAAATTATATTTAATATTAAATATAATTTGATATTAAAATATAATTTTAATATAAATATTATTATAATCAATTTCTGTTATCAGAATTTTCTTCTAGCGTAAATCACTCGAGATATAAATATTTATTAATTTATTATAATTATATTCTGTATGCAAAAACAAATATACATATTACTAAAAATTTTATTTTAACCGCGTAATCCAATTAAATACTAATAGCAGATTGGAACTTAAATAAAATATGTTTAGTTACAAAGAGAAGATGACGTATCTAAATTCTTTATACAAGGATCAACCGTATGACAGCATGGAGAATGCAATATGGTGGGTGGAATACATGATGCGTCACAAAGAAGTAAATCATTTGCGATTTAGTGAAAGCGATACTCCATGGTATCAACGTTACGACATAGATATCATTGCTCTGCTTGCTATAACATTATTTATATTGACCTGTATAATAATTCTAATTATCTTCAAAATTTGTAAATTTATTTTAAACAGTATTATTTTCTAAATATTATTATACTCCAAAGTTAAACATTATTCATGTTGACACATGTAATATATAATATTAATTATCTTTAAGATTAAACATTGTTTTTTAGACAGTATTATTATATATATATATTCTAATTTTTACATTTTTAAATATTTCTCAATATAACAAAAATAATGAATTATTAAAATTTTAATCATTCAATGAAAATAATGCTTTTGTGTGTATTTCAAAAATAAAATTATTATTTGAATATTAAACGAGTTTTTTATTTTTCTCAATTGTTATCCCCACATATATTGTAAAAATATTTTCCTCAGACGCTCCCTATTCGAACTCTCAAATTAATTAATATATAGTTGACGAATACACGAATAATGACTGCTCGTGTATATATTAATTAACGACCGAATGCAGGATTGTGCCGAAGCTAACAAGTGCTGCGATGTCACAGACTATTGATTGATTTCTTTCAGTAAATTTTCGCTCGCTGATGCATTAAGGAAAGAAAATATTATATTCTGAGTTGACATCGCAATAATATCGATGTACACAAGATATAAGAGACGGCTGATCTCCACAAATTCATAAACCTTTCCCAAAAAGAAAAATATCGGGGACCTATTAGAATTCAATTCTAGGATCTTTCTCTCAGAAAACAATCATTCTATTGAGCCACCTCATCATCCCATATCATCATATTCTTTCTCGTTTATATATTTTTCCTCGACGTCTACAGTTCGATCATACTAATCGAACATTCATCCCTGAATGTCACACTTTAGCTCTGTTAAAATCATTACAGCTTTCTTCTCCAGATTCATCCAGAATCCTGAAGGCACGTTAATTCATCTCACTTTTGAAATCTGCAAGCTTTTCCCGAGTAAAGGAAAAATATCGAGATCTTATTGAAACTTAATCTTATTGGTAGTACATTTTTCTCAGTAGACAATTATTCTAAGTTATCTCATCGCTTTACGTCACCGTATTCTCTCTGCTTAATTATATTATTCCTCGACGCTTACAATATTTCCCATCAATTTATTAGACTCGCAATTTTGTCTTTATAAAAATGGAAAACAATGCGATACTAGCATAAGTTCACGTAAGTTATTTTACAGCGATACGCGACATTACCATCACATCATAATTTAAAATCATTATAAATTTTAATGCCAATAAATTCTCCACGTCAATTGTTTTAAAAGATAATAATTCGTAATTTAAATTGTATAATGCCTTTAAATGAGCATATCGCGAATATTATCTTAGACTTATGAATACGCATAATAATTAAACTAATAAAAACAGTTAGAGTTCAAGAATAATATTTTACCTAATATAATTTAATTCATAATATTTCTTACTCTTATTACATGTGTACAAAAAAATAGTGATTCTTTAATTGTATAATTTTCCATAAATTGTCTTTACTAATGCAGCAGCAACATAAACATTGAAGCTTTCATTATATAAAATATTATTAGCATTAAACTGTATGGACCACCAGAATTTCATTATGTAATGCCGAATAAACGTATTCACGAAGTACATACTCTCTTCAATTATAAGCTTTCTAAGTCAACCAGCGATATGACAAAGTTATGTGATTATCCCACTTCGTAACGTATAAAACATAAAACATCAGAGTATGCTAGAGTTAGCCAGTTTGACTCTGCGTTAATGTTATAGATATACAAACGGCACAGCCTAAAGCATAAAAAGTAATTAACGTAAAATATAAATAATCTTAATTATATGTAACTTGCAAATTAAAATATTTATAGTTCTGCATGTGTTTCACAAACGATAATAGATTGCTTATATTATTATACAAAATATATATTGACTTTTAAAAGCGACTTTACAAGATTATTTTATTTTTAACAATATTATTATTTATATATTATATACAGATGAAAAACTCATTTCTCATTATTGTAAAAAAACAGAGTTTTCTTACTTAGTTCGTTATGGATACGTTAAAATAAAGAGAAAAGCAATTTTCGCGGCAAACAAAATGATCTTGACAACGTTATCGAATCGGTGTGATCGAAAAAAACCGGTATCGGAGAAGCGATCGCCGATATTGCTACGGGGAAAAGTGGCTTTCTATCGCTCGATGCGACGGGAGCGTGTCGTCTTTCGGTAACCGTATCCCCCCAAAGTGTCCTGGACTCATCAGCCGTAGTAACACCGGGAGCTTACTCTACGCAGCCGACTTAACTCGAGCTCGGTGGAAACTTGGCGCGAACTAGATTACCATACCACCGTCCGCACGTAGCGTCTACGCAGCTCCGACGTGGTACATACAAGATGACGATGGTCGAAGTGCTTCACAGGATTTCGGAATTAACGTACCGCATCGTGTTCCTATACGCGAAATTCAACGCAGGCAAATTCAAAGCGAGCGATCCCAGCAAACACCGATATATAATTGTTACATTGCTATAATAAAACGGAATATAACGTGTACGTTACATGTAACATCCATGTTAGTTGTAATTTCTCACTCATAGATGTAACATTTTAATATAACATATATTACATTGTAGTTATATTGTAATTATATGTATACCAAATAGCACATTGATGTATTGATAAGTCAGTGCTATCTTGGGATATAATGACAATATAACTACAATGTAATATATGTAATATTAAAAATGTTACATTTATGAGTGTGGGAAATTACAACTAACATATACGTTACATGTAACATGCTTAAGTATATAACATATATATTTACTGTGTTTGCTGGGGTGCAACGCGGCTTCGATTGCGTTCAAAAAATTTTCATTAAAATTTCATTAAAACTTTAATGATCTTTGCGCGAAAAAAAAATATAATATGCCCTCAGCACTAATCGACATAGTTTTTGCATGTAAATTTCACCGGAATAAAAGTTTTGCGCGTAAATAAATATACCGATTTTTATTTTTACGATACGTTTACTAAATACATTGTTTCAACAATTGTTTATTTGTTAATTGTAAATCTTTCGCGCCTCGCGCGATCGCGATTTCATACACACGTCTATAAAATGTAAACATTATTCCGCGATATAGTATTATAATAAATAAGTTCAACAATTGCACAGAGCGATACCGCGAGAGGATTACGCATTGTAATCCGACAAAGATAAAAACGAAACGAAAAGAGCGAAGCAGATCGAAAAGCCAATAGAAAGATTTGCGGAACGGGATACTGAACAATGAGGAGGGAAGAGAGAAAGGATGGAGGAACGACGCGTGTGTGCTCTTGGCGTCCCACAGTCCCACGTCAGAGAAGTTTCCCCTTTGGCTTAGTGGCGTCGCGCGATGCATTATGCAAGGTGGTAAGATCTGGTAGGGAAACTGCCTGTCTTTCCGACTGTCTCTACCGTTACTCCGGGACGCACCCTCGTCGCAATTGCATCGTACGCCACGCAGGGAGAACAAAGACAAGAGAAATTCGCACAACTCGCTTGAACTGAATTAGCGTTGGTGGATATTAACGATTCAAGTAGGCAGCCGAGCTAAGATCCTTAGAGTAAATTAGGTATCGTTCGATATTCGCGAATTATTTCACTAACCACATTTAATTATTAAAACATTTCTACACCGTGAGGGAGGGATAGTTATCTAGAAATGCACATAATTCTGACAATTAGAATAACTTCTCTCTCTAACCAAGCATAAATATACATAAGATGCTATTATACATAAACATATTTGAGGAAACGTAGAAGCTTACAACAAACTGTAATATATTAATACGTGCGTTTCCATCGTTTTTTTCTCTTATTGTAAAGAATACCTAACGAAAGCTTTCATCTAGCTGACAAAATTTTGATATACGTATCTACATTTTTGCACCAAGAGACTCATCTTTCTTGGAACTTTAAAGTCTTCTGACAACGACGAAAAAATAAATAAATATTCCTGCGTTATGCAGGCTTCAAGAACTTACGACACCGTTGAAATGATATGCATTTCTAGCAAGAATGTGTCGCCTTGTGGCTCGTCTCAGCTGTCTGTCTTACTTGGTCCCATCGACTGATCTTAATGCGGTAATCTATGTGGCGTATGCGTGGCGCGTGGCGCTTTAGGTGTACGCATTGCATGATTCGCGGATACCCCGATACATACTATTGCATTGTAACACGAGAGAGAGACTATGGCACGATCGGCGTTCAACCGATGTGTCAATATATGCTTCCCTCGATCGGATCTACGAAATTCTAACTCATCGTCTTCCTCACCGGGAACGCCAAAGTGCCCGTGAACAACTATTACGCGATGCTTTTGTACGTCTCGCGTACAACGCGAGATAGAAATTTCAGCCGATGTCAAACGGGAGAGGGAGAGATAAAATCCTCGATAAATTCCACCCCCGAAGCTTCGCGTCTTAAATAGTTCCGCGTGTGTTTTGATGACGATAAACGTGTTTTCAATCAACTTAAGCGTAGCGATTTCATCTTTATGGTATTTAACAAAGGCTTTCTCTCATTGCAAACTAAAGAATTTTAAGACTGAAGACTATATACTTATATAAATTGAAAATTCTAAATATTTCAAAATATTTGTAGCTTATATATTATATTTACATAGGTATATTTAGAATTAAGTAACAACTTTTTCGCACGTAGCATTCTTTAAATTTAACTATATTTAATTATAACACTTGACATGAACGAATATATTTTTTATTTAGTTTGCCTTTTTCAATTTTTAAAAATTTTGTTAATAATAAATTGTATTTTTTACATTTTCTCAGTTTCGCTATAAATCGTTACGTTACAAAGCAACAAAATAATTCGAAAAACTGCAACAGCATTTTGACACAATATTTTTTTTCAACGACTCTTTAACGTTCAAACTACCGTTTATAATATATCCAAGACTTATGCGGTGCGTCGAAAGCAACTAAATGCACCTAGCACAAATTGGATCACCGGGTTTGTTTATGAGGAAGCAAATATTTCGTCGCGGCTACGGTAAATTGTTTGCCCGCGGCGAGCCCACGCTGCGCGCTTTTAATTTGCACGGCTGGCCTGTCATCGAAATGGAAAG